GAGGGGGTGAAGGGAGGGTGGGGACAAGGGGAAAAAATGAGAACCAAGACCTGTCATGTAGAGGTACAAGATCCCAGTAATGAATGTAACTGTCCTGTGTACCTACAATGCACCAATACATTCAATTAAAAAAAGAAAAGAAAAGAAAAGAAAAGAAAAGAAAAGAAAAGAAAAGAAAAGAAAAGAAAAGAAAGGGGCTGGGGATTTAGCTCAGTGGTTCCGAGCTCAGCGGTTCCGCTGCCGGCCTTGCAAGCACAAGGACCCGAGTTCGATCCCCGGTACCAAAAAAAAAGAAAAGAAAAGAAACCTTGGTGAGAATGTGGCCGTTTGTGTTTGCTGATGCAGAGGAAAGAATGTTCTGGAACCTGATGCCCTTCACCACCAGGGACTTCTCCATCCGGTCCCTGGCCGACCGCCTGGGGGACCTGAACTACCTGATCTACGTCTTCCCCGACCGGCCGAAGGACGAGGTGTACTCCAAGTACTACACGCCGGTCCCCTGCGAGCGGGACACGGGTAACAGCCCTCACGTTCCGGTTCCGCTTAGCTGTGGCTTTGCTTCTGGGCTTCCCGTTGTGAGTCTCCGCTTGCGCACGCGTGGGAGTGTCTGTGTCTCTTGCACCCCCAGGCCAGTGTCCAGCCCCCACCGTCCACGTTTCTGGGCAGTGAGCGCCCCGTGCTGCGTCCCTGCCTCTCTCTGCCTCTGCAAGTCCACAGCGCTGGCCTGAGAGCACAGCAGACCCTGTCTCAGAAACGGGGTGCGTCTGCACTAGGGGAGGCCGGGGCCCGGGGAGAGCCCTGCCTTTTCACATCTTACTTCAGTTTTCGTGCCTCGGTTCTTCCCACTTAACACCGAACCCTGGGCCGAGGTCCCATCGGACAGCGGTGCTGCAGGCCCGTCATCACCTGGCGATTCTGCAGGACGTCCTTACGTGGCCACTCCATGCTGGGCCCCGAATTAGCTAAGACACCCAGTACTTAGTGCGTTCGCATTTTTGCTATGATCAATGTCAAGATAACCTTATACAGGTGTCTGGCTGACTGCTTCCTTAAGATAAATTCTTTTTCCTTTGGTTTTTTGAGACCAGGTCTTGCTGTGTAGCCCAGGCTGGTCTCGACCCCGTAGTGATCCTCCTGCCTCGGCTTCCCAAGTGCCGGGACCTTCAGATAAATTCTTAAAGTAGAATTTGTGTCAGAGGGTCTGTGTTTCCTAAGCTTTCTGAGACAGCAGAATCCAGGCCCACTGCCCAGTAGTAGGCAGCAGCTTCTCTGAACAACCTAACAGTGGTGTCTTACAGGTCTCACTTCCACTGTTTTGATTCTGTGAAACCGCAGACATCTTTTCACTGGCGATGACCACAATGATAAATCGTCCAATCACTGGCTGGCATTGTTCTGTGCCCACTGTGTGGCTGGGATTTTGGAGTGTTTTTCCTGTCATACCTCATTTCATCCCCAGAGCTATTCTGTGAAGGAAGCATGCTGTTATCCCCACTTTACAGATTAGGAAACTGAGGCCCAAAGAAATAAGCCCCTTTGTCCAAACCCACACAGCTAGGAAGTGGCCACACTGGGCTTGAGCTCAGGCTTTCCAGAGCTGGTGTTCTTAGTGCCTGGCTCATTTTTCTTTCAGAGTTACATTTTGTTTTCTTTTGTTTTGTCTTGCTCCTTAGCCCAGGCTGGCCTCAAACACAGCGATTCTCCTGCCTCACCCTCCCAAGTACTGGGATGACAAGCATGCACCACCACACTCGGAAAAAAAAAAAAAATCCTATATGTGGGGCTGGGGATTTAGCTCAGTGGTTTCACCACTTGCCTTGTAAGCACAAGGGCCAGAGTTCGATCCCTGGTACAAAAAAAAAAAAAAAAAAAAAAATCCTGTTTCTAACGCCTTCCTTTGATTCTCACTTTTGCTGCCAGTCTGCCATTCCCTAGACTGTAAAGTGCCAGGTGCACATGGAGTTGCAGCTCAAGAAGCAGAGGTCAGGGCCCGGGTGGCATCTCCCGGGGCTGCCGTGTCACCCGCTTGGGGCTCTGCTGATCACAGCGGCTTCTGAAAGCAAGCCCGGGTGGCCCCGTTTCCTCGCTTGCATCCCGGAAAGTGAGCCTGGGCCCCCCGGCACCACACACTCCTCTGCCACTGCACCCATGATGGGCCTGGACCCTGCTGGTGCCCCGAAATGCCACAGCCGGGACATGAGTCACCCAGTGGTTGCTGGAGCAGCTGAGAGAGGAGGTGGCGGTGTCTCCTGGCAGTCAGAGGTCCCCACCGTGGGTACAGCCAGCCCCGAATCTGCCACATCCCCAACTTTGTGTGTTTTTTCTGGTACTGGGAATCGAAGTTGGGACTTTGCACTTTTGAGGCAGGCGGTAGCACTACTGAGCTAAATCCCCGCATCACAGATTTCTAAAGGTTTTGTTCCGTTTTCACGACCAGCATGCAGTCAGCTGTTGGTTTAGGTTTCCAGCCGATGTGTTTTCACTGGAGATTTTCAGCGCTGGTGTTGAGCTTCCCCAAGGCCTCCAGGCGACAGGAGTGTGTTTGTGTCGTGTCCTGAGATACATTGGGGGTGGGGGCCGTCTCCTCCCTGAGAAGAGGCACATTGTAGTCTTAGTGAGGTGTTGTTTCCGTGTGCTTACCCCGCTCTCCCCACAGCTAAAGCCGTGGACGGCTACGTGAAGCCACAGATCAAGCAGGTGGTCCCCGAGTGAGTGTCCAGCCCCCACCC